GAGTGAGGTTAACACCTCTGAGATTGATTGGGGGGAAGAACAAGACCATTCATGGAGTGGAGAAGAAGATCACTACTCTAGCTCTCTGAGAGGAGAAACTGATTCTGAAATCAGTGAAGAAGAGCTAGATGAACGTGGTGAACAGCCTTGGTCTGAAGAAATCCCTTACCAAACCGTTGAAGACCATTGGAGTCTAGGAGGAGAAAGCCAAGCCTTGTCCGATGAAGAGCTGACTATACAGCACCACCATGGCCTGGAGATGAGTACGCAAGCCCTAACTCTGAGGGAATATATGGCTATGACTCATGGAGAGAAGAAACTGATTCCAAAATCAGTTTAGAAGATGCATATGGGAGTAATGAAGAACATTGGATTGAGGAGGCCAAATCAGAAGTTTCTTTCGAAGAGGAACCAGATTATGAACCTAATTCTGAAGGTTATTTTGAAGAAGAGAACGAGTCAGAAGCTGAATACAAGGAAGAGTTAGATAGTGAAGGAGAAGAGGAAGTCCACGAAGTTGAATCATGGTGTGAAGAACCGGAAGGTGACTATAGCGAAGGAGAAGAGCATGGTTGTGTCTCTTATAATGGAGAAACTGATTCTAAAGGCCGTTATGAAGATTCTTATGTTGAAAACCAACCATGGTGTGAGATACCATACTCAGATCAAGAAGAAGAATACCAAGAAGAAACTGATTCCCTAATCAGTTTAGAAGGTTACAGTTTATCCGGTGAAGCAAGTTTAGAAGAGAATTTTGGTGAAGAACCAAAATATGATGAGGAGAACGAGCCACAATACCTAACCTATTCAGGTTATAGTCAAGGTACAGAAGACTACCTAAGATGGGAGGAGAACATGGAGGCAAACTTTCAGTCTTGTAAAGTGCCATTAGAGGAGCAGCTCTCATACGCTCTTGTCGCACTCACCGGACCAGCTTATGAATGGTGGGAGCAAGAGGAGAACGTCCGACTCAACTACAATGAACCAGCTCATACATGGGAAAGCTGTAAGTTAGAAATCTATGAGCAGTTTGTAAAGGAAGTTTCAGCTCAACATCAAT